TCTGAGTCCAAAGAAGAGGTGGAGAATAGAGGAAACATATTCCCCAAGACTTCGATGATCGAATCTGCTGCTTCCATCGTACTTCCACCTCTGCCACCAATGAAGTTTATCACCACACCAGCATCTCGTCCAAACGTTATAGTACACGATAGAATGTACACAGAGGATGATATTCCACCAAAAGTGATACGAAAGAAGAATTTCTTACAAAACTTGGACCCAATGGCTAAATTCCACGACTTGGAGGATGATATAGCACGTGAATGGCACAGAGGGTTATCATGGCGTAAAGTGTTGGTTAAATTGGAACCTGATGCTCACAACAACATCATCGTCAGAAGAAAATATGCTAATGCATTTGGATGGCAAGTGGTGGAACACATGGTGAATAACCATTTCACCCAGAGCACACCGAATGCTCATACAGTGCCTAAAGTGGATAGCTCTGCAGATTTGGAGAATTTGGAGGAGATCAAATCCCTGGTCGATCGTGATACTTTACAACGTGATAACGAAGAGCTGGATCTAGGTGATGATGCAGCACCAACGGCACTTGATATGTCATGGGTCAACCAAAAGGATGGCGAGTCAATATTTGATCTAGGACCCACAGGCATGATGACCAATTTTAACGATATGTTGAACAATTTCAGAAACTGGTCAGTTCCTGAAACCACACTGACACAGACGATAACACAAACGATACCACGTATAGAGAACGCTGAGGACATAGTTGAAGAGAGAGATGCCGACCCGGACGCTGCTTACATAGAATCAACTACACATGTATGAAACGCACTTCATGGCTGAGATTATTAGCTTATTCTGAGCAAAATATCTAATATATCACCATCTTTCAAATACTGTAGATCCAAGTCTTGTTTCAAAGAACTGAAATCGCCGCTTTTGGCGTATGAAGATACAGAAGAGTATGGCCCATACAACGAAATCTCGTCACCGTTTACACTTAGCACCTTAAAGACTTCAACTAGCTTGTAGTAAGTTGGGAAATTTCTCTTCAATTGCAAGTTCTCCCACACAGTTGTAAAGTCCAAAGCCAATTGTTTCACTCCAACACGAGAGAAATGATTGCCCTTGATGACATTCTGTAAGATACAATTGGCAAGATATAACGAGACAGCATTCTTGATCTTTGTCAACTCATGCTTTGTTACCACCTTCACAGAGAAGTCAAACAGCTCTGGAAGTGTGTCCATGAGTGGGACGAGTTCACCAGAGACCGCGTAACTCTCTGGTTCTTGAAGGACATCCCAAGTGTTGAGGGCAACGTATTTCTTCATGAGTGAATCAATAGTCTTGGTATGGAATTGTATAATCAGCTGAAAGACCTGGGTTTCAAGTGTGGTATATTTCCCCAAAATTGTAGCAAATAACGAAGAGGTTTGTGTGTTGGAATACTTATTGAACAAGTTGTTGAGTTCAACAAATATCAGCTCATTATCCCAAACTTTGATAAATTTGATTGTGTATCTCAAAGAGCAGTATAGACGGAACAGTCTTTCTAAACCGTTACATCCACTGATGTCAACCTCACTTCCCTTAGTTGCGTGCAACAGGGATTTAGTCTTCCTGAACAAATCTGCAAATGCGGTGGCACCGTCATTCAATGCCTTGTAATACATCTCGAGGAACCCGAGGAACATTCTGGAGAACAGCTTCAGCTTAAACTTCTGTAAAGAGCTGTTAAGTTCGTAATTTGGGACGAACAGCTTTTGAAAGTTCTTAATGGTGGACTCGAACAAGTATTTCAACTTGATTGACGACACCGTTGGTTTGAGCTCATCGTGTCCTACAGAGGAATAATCAATCTGGAACACGTTTGGAGCATCAACAATGGTGAAGAAGTTTGAGTCGGCATATTTGTTCTCAAGGTTGAGCCATTTTTCAAGATCTCTGTAGTCAAAACATGAGAAGAGTCCTGGCCAAAGGCCATCGCTAAAAGGGTCATAGAAGTATTCATTAACCAAGAGTTCATCAAAATTGACAGTCTCCTTCACAAGGTGGATTAACAGCCTAAGATCAGTATCAGTGGATTTCTCCTCGGTGCTGTTTCTCAAAATTCCAATGAACTGTTGTAACTTGTCCCTAACAGGGACCAGTGCGCTGGTAATGAACTCTGTATGAGCTGAACAATCGTTGAGCTCAGTGTCTGCAAGTGGGAACATCTTGTTTATCTTGATTATATGTGTTGACAGATAAGTAAGCAGGTAGGTGAGAAACAACTCTGGTTTGTCGATTCGGTTTGTCTGCTTATCCGAATTGAAATGATAGTTGAAACCAACTCTAAAGTTTTGTGATATAGCGTCGAAGGCCCACACAGTATCTGGATACTTAGGCTTATTCGAAAGCAGAGATTGTAAATTCACAAGTTGTGTGAAAGATTCGAACAATTCTGGGGACAAAGCTGATTGTTTCATCCAATTAAAACCGTGCAATGCAGTGACAAACTCAAGGTAGAAATCATCCTTGTGAGACATAACAAGACCATCCAGAGTATCAGACAATGTCTGCTTCAAATGAGGATCCTGCAATTGGCGTAGTTGGTCTTTAACTTCCCTCCACTGCTCAAAATTGTACCCCGTATCATCTGTTAGCTGCTTCTTGAGATCTTCAGATAGTACCACGTCCTTTCTCTGTGCCATGAGCCTCTTCCTCTCAGACACCAAGTTCTTCGCAGCAACAAGAGCCTGGATTTCACCATAGGTACTAATCAGTGCGTTCAAAGTCTCCACATCCTCATTGCCGATGGCTAATTTGATCTCGTTGGCAAGATCCCATGCCCTTGTGTCCTCTTTGTCATCATCCTTGTTAAACAACAACGACCTTTGCCCTTCCAATTCAGCAATACGTTCGTTCACTTGAGAGACATCGTGCACAGTGGTGAACCAATTTTCGAAAGATGTCATAACTCTGACGCCTGATTGCTCTGTTGTTAATGGCAGAATTCTGTCTATTTTGTTTGCAATGTTGATGAAGCTTCTCGAAAACCCAACGGTTGTCCCAAATGTCCCAAATGTCCCGTCTGTCGCGGGTTTTGTACACAGGACGTGTCCAAGACTTCATTACCCCGGTGACGGTAAAAACTCAATTGCTTCTCCACTCGTTTGAAAATGACTTTTGGCATAGATGGCGTTTGTTTATAGAAATTTGATGGAGGAGAGGGGTGCACCGGTTTCTGTGGTTATTCCTTCTTAGTTATACGGTTTGTTTACAACGGTTGTCACCCTTTCAATCAAAGTATCGTCACGTTAGGGAAGAGGAACATGTCCAGCATCAACAGACCAGTGCAGATTGAGGAGTTCACGGTTGCATTGAGAGATGTGACGGATGATGAGTTGTTCAGTGTTAAGCAACAATTGCAGAAATCGATTGCTAAGTTGGAAAGAACCAATACGAAGCTATACAGACTCATAAATGGTGAGCCGGTCGATAGTGGTGACGATGACGATGATGAATTCAACGAGGTCAACACCGACGACAGGGCCTTGTTCAACGAGATCATTGCTGAAAATGGGATCGTTATAAGAAATCAACAGCAGAGAATCGATAAAGTTGACGACGAGTTGGAGCACAGAGGGCTAAACAACAATCGTCTTGATCATGCTAGTGAAGGCGGTGTGAAGTCTACCGAAAGCTCCGCCAAATCTGCTCAATATGCGACTGCTGATACCGATAACGACAAGCTTGACTCCAATGCGGCTAACAGTATCTTCATCTAGTTTAGGGACCTTTTTTTGTGTCATATCCGTCTTGATCTTTGCGTTGTTTTCACCCCATGGTACTTTGTTTATGTTTTTTTTGTTTGTGCTTTGTTTAGCATGTAAACAATGCCACGATACAATTGCGTTATACAACTTAGTTTGTTTTAGATGTACTTGTTTCTATTGTGCTTTTTAGGACACTGCCTTGCGGGGATTACGATAGAGGTTGAGCCAGTGAGAGGCAGGAATGATGACCTGTGTTTACGCGTGTTTTTGGAGGATCTCACAACAGTTGTAGATGTTGAGACAGATCCCTATGTGGAGCAGCAATCACTTGGAATTCGAATAACAGATGAATTTGGCCTATTCATCGAGAAAATGGTGAGCAACCTCACTCTACTACGTCGTACGAATGTTACTAATAACCATCTCAGGACGTGAAGGATACAGCTATTCGCTTTGTAATCACGCCGAATAGAGAGACAACAATAGACGTATGCTTGGGAAACGTTGTGAACGACGCCAGTTGGTCATACCAATGGAAACTGCGAGAGGTATCGGTCCACGTTTACCAAGTTGACGATTCACCACGGAGTATAGAGGCAAAGATGCTGTCAGTTCATAGACAGCTAAGTGCATCACTGCAGACAATAAAGTCAACAATTACGCAGGAGATAACGTCGATCCAGAAAGGCATGTCTTCCCTGTTGAAGAAAGAGACAAAATCCAGAGACTTGAACGAAGACTCATTAACAAAGTTGAACGTATCGTTGGCCCTGTTGGTGCTAGGTTCGTTCATTTGTCAAACGATGAGTTTCATATGGCTAAGGTACTTGGCTATGAATACGGTAAGAAAGAGGTAATGAGAACAAAGTATGGTGTGGTGTCCGGGTTGTGGGTATGCGCAGAGAGCCAGTACAAAAAAATACGAGAAAAATTTCCATCGAGCTTTGATCAATCAGGTCACAATGAAGAAGTGTTAAAAGGCACAAGAAGGATGTTGCTCTCAGCTACAGAAAGGTCATATCTCTATGAATCATTACACAGCAAACATATAATAAGGCCTGATGGCAGAAATATCAAACAGTTCAGACCAATTCAATCACACACTGGGTTTCTAGAGCTATCAAACGGTTCATCAAAGATTACTCTAAGTGACGGTAGCGAATGCATTGTTAGTATCAAGGCCAAGGTTGTTGATAAAGCACAAGAGCAAGACCTTGTGTCTGTGGATCTTGAAATTGCAGGCCACAGAGAAGATTCGCCGTATACGCTAAGTCTAACGTCGACATTACAGTCGTTATATGCCAAACATATTCCAAGGGAATCGCTTAATTTGACATCCAAGTTTGCATACAAGCTCTACATCGATATCCTTGTTATCGCTACCTACTCGCATCCACTGACCATGATGTCATTGGCTACATACCTTGCCCTTCAAAGCACATTCTTACCAAAGCTGACCTCCTCAGTGGACGACAAGGAGATTGAAGAGCAACCAACTTTCCACGATTATGAGTTTGTCAAGTTACAAGTTACCGTCCCTGTCATTTTCACAGTGGCTGTCATCGGAGAGAACTGTATTATAGATCCTAGTGCTGAAGAGATGGAAGTTAGTGATAATGGACTCATAGTGAGCTGGTTTGACGGCAAACCAATCTCTCCTATGGGCACAGTAAGACTTAGCGAGACAAACATCAAGAGTCTAAATCCAGCTCTGATTGTTAAAAGTGTCGATCTCGTATCGAGCATTGCCAATTCTGTGATCTCCGCTTTGGA